CCTCCCTCTTCGCTGCTCCCCGTACCTTGTTGGACAGTCCTCTGGTCCATCCTCCTCTTCCCCTCTCGTCCGGCGTACGCTTGTTGACCAGTCCTCTCCCATCTCCTCTTCCCCTCTCTCGTACCTGTGTTTGACAGTCCTCCTCCATAGCCTCCCCTACCTCCCCCTCCTCTCCCGTCCTTCTGACAGTCCTCTCCGTCCGTCCTCCCTTGCCCCGTTCTCACCGTCACTTGAGCTGACACGTCCTCTCCGTCCATGCTCCTCCCTCTCTCCCGTACCTTGTTGACAGTCCTCTCCCGTCCCTCGCCTCTCCCCTCCTCCACTCTCTCCGTACCTTGTTGAAGTCCTCTCCCGTCATCCCCCGTCCTGCCCCTCGTCTCGCGTACTTGTTTGACTAGTCTCTCCGTCCTGCTGCCCCTCTCTCCCTCTGCTCGCCCGTACTTGTTGACAGTCTCTCCCGTCTCCGCCTTCCTCCCCCTCTCTCCCGCGGTCCTTGCTGAACCAGTCCTCCTTCCGTCCTGCCCGCTCCCCCTCTGCTCTCCGTCCTTGTTGGCAGTCCTCTCGACCCTGTCCCTCCCCTCCCCCCTCTCTCGCCGTCTTGCTGACAGTCCTCTCCGCGTCCCTCCTCCTCCGCCGCTCTCTGCCCGCGTACCTTGTTGAACAGTCCTCTCCGGCGTCCCCTCGCCTCTCCCCCTCTCTCTCCGTACCATTGTTGGCAGTCTCTCTCCGTCCTCCCCTCTCCGGCCTCTTCTCCCGCTACTTGCTAGAGCTCCTCTGCCGGCGTCGCATTCCCCCTCCTCCCCCTCCTCTCCCGTAGGCTTGTTGACAGTCCTCTCACCGTCCGCTCCGCCCTGCCTCCCTCTCTCGGCCGTACCTTGTTGACAGTCCTCTCACCGTCCATCCCCTCCCTCGCCCGTCTCTTCCGTCGGCTCCGGACTCCTCCCCTCTCGTCCCGTACCGTTGTTGAGCAGTCTCTCCATGCTTCTGCCTTCTTCCCCCTCTCTCCTGGTACTTGTCTGACAGTCCCTCCCATCCTCCCTCCTCCCCTCGTCTCCGTACTTGTTATGACAGTCTTCCCGTCGCCTCCCTCCTCCACCATCTTTCCCGTCCCTTTTTTGCAGTTCTTCTGCGCGTCTTCCCTCCTTCCCTCTCTCCCGTCCCCTCCCTCCTCATCTCTCTCTGCTCCGTACCATTGTTGTAACGAGTCCTCTCCCATCCTCCCCTCTCCCCTCTCTCCCGATACGCTTGTTGACAGTCCTCTCCCGTCCGGCTCCTCCGTCCTCTCTCTGTCGTACCTTGTTGACAGTCTTCTCTCGTCCTTCGCCTCGCTTCCGCTCTCTCCCGTCCTCCACTCCTCCCCCTCTCTTCTGACCGCTACCTGTTGACAGTCCTCTCCCGTCCTTCCCTCTCTCCTGTCCCTCCCCTCCTCCCGCCTCTCTTGCGTACCTTGCTGACGAGTCCTCTCCGTCCATCCGGAGAGAACACTCGTCGTTCGACACGGCGACGACTGTCTCCATTGTGCACAGCGGGCTTAGGTCGTGTACAGGTGGCAAAGTCTGATTGCGCAGTCGCAGGCGTCGAAGCTGCCCGTCATCACAGGTGCGGAATAGAGCGCAAGCGCTTGTTGTTTACGTGAGGAGGCTAAAGATGACACAAGAGGGAAGTGGGGAGTGAGAGGGCATAGGGGGGGAGGGGAGAAAGGGAGGGAGGGCGGGGAGGGAGGGAAGAGGAGGGAGAGAGGAGGCCTTGTTGTTACGCATGGAGACAGGTAGATGTACACAAGAGGACGTCAGGGAGGGAAGAGGAAGGGGAGGAAGGGAGGGAGAGAGGGAGGGAGAGGAGAGAGTAGAGGCCTTGTTGTTTACGATGGAATGTAAAAAAGGGAGTGAGGGAGGGAGAGAGGCGGGGAGGAGGGGGGCAGGAGGGCAGGAGAGAGAGAAGGAGAGGGAGGAAAAGAGGGAGGGAGGGAGGGAGAAGAGGAAAGAGGGAGAAAGGAGGGAGGGAGGGAGGGAGAGACGGAACGGGAGGGCAGGGAGAAAAGAGGGAACAGAGAGGGAGGGAACGGAGGAAGAGAGGAGAGGGAAAAGGAGGGAGGGAAGGAGGAAGGGAGGGGGAGGGAGAGAGGGAGGGAGGGATGCATAAATGAGTGATCAAGTGATACACGGCAGGTAATGCGGCATATTTGACATGCATAATATACCTGTATATAATACTATATATATAATAATCATTATATATATGCGATTCGTGTTACACATATAACTCGCACAGGATGAGTGTAGACTGCAACAAATTTACATTGCTACAGCAGCTAAATATCCGCTCACAAAAGCAGATTGGACGCTATGATATATGAGTCAATCATATATCTCATGTATGCCTCATATATATCTCATATATGTCTCATATATGTCTCATATATCTCATGTATGTCTCATATATGTCTCATATATGTCTCATATATCTTATGTATGCCTCATGTATATCTCATGTATGCCTC